TGGAGAAGACAATCATTGGGAAAAGTCTATGAAACTTATTTTATCTATTTTCATTATAAACGTCTTTCCCTTAATTTTAAGCAAGTCATTTTTCTTTAAAAAGTTTTATTTAAAAGGTTTAACCAACCAACCAAACAAAAAAAATATAAAAGCATTTTCCCAAGTACCAAACACACCCCTATGGGCACACCAATCTTTTAAGTTCTACCTTCGTTTCCTATTGACTCACCACCCATTTCCTAGTTTCCTGGCTACTAGAAGTAATAACAAACATCAAACAGTCAAAAGAGATCGTTTGATTGCTGGTTAGGAGCTTATTTATCCGTGCATTAAATCCTAGATAATTTGTATCATGTTTGCTACCATAAATAAGCTATATATGAAATTGAACATGCCAAAGACAGTGTTTGGTTAGTTTAGAAAGTAACAAATACATATACAAGTTGTGAGAGAACGTATTATATAATTTTATGCAAGATAAAAAATGAAATAACTATACCATGCATAACTGATCCCTACATAACTCTAACCAACAACCAACAAACCCTAAGAGGGTAGAAAATCATCCGATCAGCCCAAAAGAAAGAAGAGAAATTTTACTAAAACGTAATGTCCAACAAGCTGTGATTTGAAACTGGGAAAATTTCCAGCGAACAGCAGTCTTTTTACCTCGAAACATGTTATAATGCAGAAGAAAATTAATGAGCAGAAGCTCAAAAAAGGTAAGTCTCATAAAAGACGCTTGTTAATACATTTTCACCACCTGCCAAAGCAACAGTTCAATAGAACTTGTTGATTTTAGAATGAGTCAAGAAAAATAACTTTTAATCGTCCTCCTCTGGGTCAAAATCTTTAACCTTTACATCAGCGTCCTCTCCATACTGGATGCAGTTGTCAATCTGAGATAAGATGTACTGTATGCTGCAAAATGGTAGAGAACATTGGTCTTGGTCATTAAGACTACATAGCACAAAAGGTGCCTTTCAACAGGCTATGTACATACACATTCGCACAAATGAGTTATCATTCTACTGGTGGTTCAAACATCTAATGTATGTATCCCTAATGTCAGAAAGTTCTTTGTACTCATAAGTTTACCAACCAAGCAATTTCAATAAGAAAAGGCTAATATCTGGACACTAGACGCACATATATCACTCTACTGTCAACTTCACATTGTTATTTGACAACACTACTATGAGAACCCAGAACAGGAAGCAGGGAATGAAAAAATGAGCACCAGGTACACATTGACAGAATCGAGACACTAAAAACATCAATAAATTCATATTTTCCATAAGTAAATCAAGCTTTAAAATTCAATCTACGGGCCAAACAAACCTCTGCTTCCCATGTAGAATATGCTAAGGACCCATCTGACCATAAAAAATATTCACTTTTTTCAAGAATATCTTCTCTGTTCATATCTGATAAATGCATAATCCAGTTCTATTTCTGCCAGTGTTTTTGTTAATTAGCATTTTTTTCCTTTCAAAAAATCTATGAAATTGTGTACAAGAAAAGCTGGTATAATCGTAGTGGTATGCACCTAGTGGTGTAGAGCAGTTTTAGGAATAAAATTCTTTTGCTAGCTTTTACAATGTCATTATAATCACCAACTAGAAAGCTGGACCAGAATCATTTAAACACAGGGTAATGCAGTTAGGGATCGTTTGGTAGAGTGTATAAGAATAATGCTAAATAGAATATATTAGTAATGCTTGCATTAACAATGCATGTATTAGTTACGCTTGCATTAATTATATATAGATTATTTTAATGCATTGTTTGGTTTGATGCATTAAAAATAGTATGTATTGCATTAAAAAAATTATTTACAAAAAAGGTACTAGTAATACACAAGGCTAATACATGCATTATTTTCCTAATACACTCTACCAAACGACCCCTTAAAGAGTTGTTTGAGATATTATTAGTCAAGTTGAGTGATTTTGCTAGTTTTTAGAAATTGGTATAAATCATATTTCATGTTTATTTAGGAAAAGTACACTCAAACATTAACATTATTCCTCATATTGTTTGAAAAACGTATAATCAAACATAACGTAATTTATTTTGGTTTCTATGGCCAAATGCCTACTCAAATTTACCACCCGAGTATATTACCTGCTCTCTTTTCTCAGGTCAAGAGGGATAAAGCTCACCATGCTGTACTGGTCCACCTGTACACAAGAAAATAACAGCCATTACGAATCACTTTCTTCTTATATCTTTTCATTAGAAAAAAGCCATGAGTCAAGTACAGCGAAATCAGTGGCAGACAAGGCATATCCTACGAGCCTATACAATCTCGTATCTAACTTAGGAGAAAGAACCTCTTTAAGTTGTCATTAAGTACCAATGTAAAAGAGAATAATGAGGTACAAAAGACATGATAGTCAATTCAATAACTAATACACAAATTCTTGGAAACATCATAACTATCAGAGCTTACCACTTCAATCAATGATTTGTTAAGCTTTTGAAATTGTGGAGCCATTCGCTGATTCAATTCTGCCAGTAACAGATGCGGCTCTGGATTCAAGTAACTAAAGGAAAAATATATTTTAATAAACTCTAAAACAATGAAGGGCCAAAGACATAGAGAAGATGGTTATAGTAGGACTAACTTCTCAACTTCCTTTTTGTTTGTCACAAGATCCATTTTTGAGAGTATGTTAACATGGGGTAGTTCAAGTTGAACCATAGCAGAGAGTGAAGCCATACAACCACTTATGAATTTGGTCACATCTGTAATAAACTGAGATAGCAAAAGAACATGAACATCCATGGACAACAGAAGGGGAGGGAAAAAAGAAGAAGAGATTCAACTTGTAAAGACCACGCACCTGAGAATCAAGTAAATATACAACACAAACATTAAAATTTTTACGCCTTAGGTGTTCCACGAAGTTCTTCAGCACAGGAACATGTGAGAAAAGCTCAATCTGGCCTATATAATGATGAGAAGTAAGTAATCTTTATATATATGTGTCTATGTGTCTGTGAGTGCATCTGTGCATATCTTTCTACAAATATGTTTGTTAAGAGACAAGACTACTGGTCAGTGTAGAAGTTTAGATAGTGGGTAGTCATAATCAGGAGACAAATGTCCAAAGAGCAAAAATATAACAATGTAGAAATACAGTTGGGAAACTTGAAAGTACTTTTCCTGAGTTAAGTAGGAATTACATGAGTGCACTGAACTAATATGAATTGCTTGATCATATTTAATCTTCAGTGACTTGACAAGAGAAAGAGAGAAAACACCATAACTATTTCCTTGGGATAGAAAGATGGAGCCCAATGAGTGGAAAAGGTAGGAGGTTCTCAGTTTGATGTGAGCCTTAAGTAATGCATTTACAAATAACAAAATCTTAAGTTCTCATCTCATATCTAAGATTGCTCCATCATTGTCCAATAGAGTAGAAGCTTCTTAATCTCGTAAGTTGCATAACCCATTATCTCAATATTGGAAGTACGACAGAACAGATAACAGAATCTCAAACTCTCTCTCATCTCACTAATTTTTCTTTTACTAAAACAACTGTCTACTACCCAGCAACAGGATATGCAATCAGCTTCTAAGATCAGTCAACATGAATCTATCCTTGACTAATCATCAAGAGTATATATCTGAGCATACAATATTCATTCACTGATAATATACTCACGAGAAACAAGGAGGGATGTCATGGACATGAACATGGCAATAAGAATTAGACAAGTATCTCAAAATCAATTCAGATGCTTCGATACAAATGTGTGCAGTAGTACAACATTCCAAAGTCATTTAACAAGAAACAGCTAGCCCTTGATTTTATTCCATGAACTATCTAAATGGCAAGCATATGTAAAGACAATTTTAAGGAAAAACACAGCTGCTAGTCAAACTCTCCGAGATGGTCCACCATCCTACGTCCCCAGAGTATTTACTTACATGAAGTTATGTTAGTAATATTCTAGGTTAGTATCTTAGCCTACTGCTAATAAAATTCTGTAGGTCTACACATGAGAGTTAGCAGTAAATGTGTAAAGGAAAAATATTACATACCTATATGATGATTGTACTACTGCTAATAAGAACAACAACTATGAGAGGGGAAAAGTACAAGTACCTGGGCAGTCAAAGACTAGGTAGTCATCATCCAAGTAGTTTTCCAACTCTTCTGTTAGCCACTCGTCCAAATTTTCTTCAAGATGTCTGAGATCACCATCAAGGGATTACAAATTTAATCAGGGACAAAAATAGAATGTTAAAGTTTCCATTCATTAGAACTGGGACTCAAAAAACGACAATCTTTTAGGGAAGGATACTCCATGCAATACATAAGGCCACCATTTGGTCCCAAACCAAGTTCTTCCATAACATCATCCAGCGAGATGAGCTCTCTGATGTCTGCAGCAAATATCAGTAAGTTAATTCTAGAATTAAGACACATATAGAGAGCAAACTAATTACTTAAAATAATTTATCTCCACCCAAATAACTTAAAATGCTTCATCTCTACTCACCCATAGCCACTGGATAGTCAAAATTCTCTGCAGCAGGATCTAGGTTCACAATATGGATAGTGCGTCGTGTGGTCTCACAATGTTGATACAAACTCGAGCAGTAAGTGGACTGTAAAAAAAATGTAGTCTAGCTGAAACTAACCATACCAGGACATCCAGGTATAAAGCAAGGGTAAGTCCATTACAGTAACAACTAACATGAAACAATATAATTCAGGTATCACCTTTCCACTGCCGGCAGGGCCAATAACCAACTGTGCATAGCCCATGATCACTCCCTTTTATGTTCCTTCTACACGTGGCCAAGAGATCAACTGAAGACACAGGTTCTGAGAAAACTGAAAATCTGAAAGACGCCAAGAACTGCAACTAACATGTATGTTGCACACCACACACCAGCCGCGAACAAGAAGCTTAGTACATCAGCATGTCCCATAAGCATAATCACGAGAAAAGAAACATGATAATATCACCTGAACTACCCATTAATAGAGTCAAAAAGAAAAAAAAAGTATAGTTGAAAACTGCTAAAAAGAATTTCTATGAAATAGGCTCATATAACAGCCCCTGCAAGCTCTACAGCTTGTTTTGTATGGTTGTATTGTATTGTTAGTTAAAACTTTAAATACAATGTTTATTTTGATTGTCACTTAAATTTTATTATATAGTATGGCTAACTAAATTCATTGTTATGTAACAATGAAAAGTTCCCTTTTTTATGAAACTACCTGTTTTATAGCAGCTTTACCACATACCTCAGCTAAACTGACTTTGGATAAAGAAAAAAGTAGCACAACAGACAAACTGAGGCGTGATTGTTGGGATGTGAGGGAAAGGGGAAGAAGATTCTAGCAGGTAAAGAAAATAGAGTTTGGGAGTGAACCGACATTCACTCAACTGTGTATATGAAGGTCTCGCATCAAGAACAAACTACTCAATACTTGTATTTTTATTTTGAGGTATGTATGTATAAGACATTCCAATCTCTTATTGATTTCAGAAACCCAACAAACAATTGATCGCGAAGAAAAATGGTACCAGCAAAAGAAGATACATAACAAATAACACAGAAAGAGATTTAATTAACCATAAAAAATAGACATATATATATTTTTTGTAGAAAGAAGAATCAAGAAGTTACCAGAAATTGCAGAGAGAAATAGGAAGTCTTCCTCGTCTTCCACCTTTTAGCCAGCCCCTCTTTTTCTGTACCGCGTCAAAAAGCTTTAAATATATAGCTGATTTTATTTGGTCTGGGCCGCTGGGCCCTCTTCAAGCCCACAACCTATTCGGGTCGGTTATGCTTTTAGAAAACGAACCATAGTGAGTAAACGTTGGCCTTCAATTTCCTCCGTCTCCGATATCGTTTCAGGTAAAACATTTGTTTTCTCCTTTCCTCTTCAATCCATTGTTTTTGTTTTCGGCATCAACTCTTACTTCCTGCTTCCACATACTCTATCTTTCTTCTTTGTGAATATATATAACTGTATTTGGACTTTGGTGGTTTCAAGCTTTCTAAGCTTTGTAGCTGAAATGTGATAGTAGCTGATAACTTCGAGTACTAAGAGAGAGCGTTTTATTTCCTCAGGTTGATACCATCATTCCGGACATTTTTAAAATGAATTATTAGTAGCATTTTCTTGAGATTTTTTCTACATGAATAACGGAACCTCATTTTCCTGCATTTTCTTTTACTTCCAGTTTTCCATAAAGTCAAGTGACTGGGTTGTTGTAAGATACTACCCTAAATATGGGAAACACTAACAAGGAACTTGGTTGAGCACTCGGAGCCTGTTTGTGTTGCCTGAATGGAAGTAGCTGATAAGCATTTAGTGTTGACAAATCAACTTTTAGTCTTGAAACTGATTTTATATGAACAATTACGTATTTGGATACAAGTGTTGTAATCGATAATAAACAGTTGATGTGTTTGGTTAAAAAGTGCTAATCCATAATAATTTTTTTTGACATAATGACTGATATGTCCTTAAGGATTAAAAATGAACAAATTCACCGGAAGGCGCAAGTAGGATATATTGAAGATAAAATGCAAAAAGGTCGCTTGAGAAGGTTTGGACATGTTTTGTGTCGAACCTACAGATGCATTGGTTCATTAGTGTGAAGCTATGGCAGTGAAGGCGTTAAAAGAGGACAGGTAGAGACAAATAACATGGAAGAAAGTTGTATCCAAAGATCTACAAATTCGTGGTATGAATGTAGGCATAGGTAAAGTTATGACACAATAGAAGAAAAACATTCATATCGGTGATACTTACTTGTTGAGATAAGTATTAGAAGATTCACTGCAAAATAATATCAATGGTGGTTAGGGTTTTGAGTTGACCTCAAATTTATACCTGAAACCCCTCCCCCTCCCCCTTTTTTCCTTTTCCTATCCAAAAACCCTAATTCGTCAATAATCCGATGCAGGTTAGTTCTGTTCATTGTTCACTCAAAAAATCATTGCTTCATAACCCCAAGGACTAATTTCACATTGACTGGCTCTTTCTTTTTTCTTTTAAATCAATCGTTATAGAATTGATTACATCTCAATCCCAAACTAGTTGGGATGGGATGGGATATTTAACTAGAATTTGACTATATAATTTTAGTTTAACTATTTTATGCTAGTTGTTAAGGTCTCAGGTTTTGCTCTTTTAGCTCTGAAAGTAAAGAATAAAATGGTTAAGTATGAGGCCAAACAAATGGAATCAATGCAAACTACTTGTTTATCTAGTTATATACTTATATTAACCCTCTCCTTAGTACTATTACCTATATACAACTGCTGTCACTTCAAAATGAATGACACATCTTCACCCTTGTCTTGTGAGATTTCCTGTAGACCTGTATTATACTATTGAGTGGTGCTCTACAGCCCAGTGAGATGTGTGTTTAGATTCAAGTATGGGAAATACATGTTCTATAAGATTTTGAGGTTTGAGTTTGTCCTTAGTTCTCTCCTTAAAACTGAACTCTTTGATTTACCACCATTTTTGTATTCATTGAAAACATAATTTGGACTAACCTGCGCCTACGCCAGTGTGATTTTTCAGATAAAATGCTTCAGTTATTTCTATCTCAACCATCTTGGAAGGAAAATGCAACTGACGAATCAGTTGAGCAGAGAAAAGCTCTTCTGAATGAGCTAGAATCAGTCATCTGGTCACTGATGTTGGTGGAAGGGCGATCTGAGTGTCGGCTTTGGCTTTCTAATGCAGTCGCAGAGATGAGGTCTATAACACCACGTAATCAACGCGAGTTATTCATGACTTTATTGAGGTCTAAGCCTCTAAAAAAGCCCTTAGTTGGACAACTTCTACAATTGCTTTTCCAGAAGGAACCTCAGAAAGCAGGGCTTATCATTGCAAAGAAATGTTTTTTATTAGAAAATTTCTTTAAAGGCAAGTTTTTACTCTTTTACTTGAGTTAGTGGATTCATCTTGATTTTTTCGTTTTCTTTAACTTGGTTATCAAGCTTCTTTTTGCTTGATCCATGAGCTTTGGCTTCTAATTTTTCCCATGAAATTTCTCTGATTTTAGCTTGTTTTTCATGTCAAAGTTAACAATATCTTACTGAATTGATTGACTCTTTCCATGAGATATATTGTCTTTTGCAGGTGGCAGCTGAATCAATATATTAGTCGAAGTTATCAATATCTTACCGTTCTTTTTTAGTATGCTTTGTCATGCTTTCTTTAGCATTTTGTCTAGGCTTCTTCACTCTTGTTGTTTTCTTTTTTCAAACTTCTTTGTAATGCTTTTACTTTCCTTGAGGGTCTATTGGAAACAACCTCTCTACCTTGTACGGGTAAGGTCTGTATACACACTATCCTCCCCAGACCCCACGTGTAGGGGTGGCAATTTCAGCCCATATAAGTGAAATGGAACCATTTTCCCCATATTAAACTAAATGTATCACTCATATTTTTTTAAATGGGTAAATATGGACTTCAACCTATTTAAGCTCATACAAATATAGACAAAATGGGTAAACATGAGAATCCATATATACCCATATATCACTCTCTTATCATCAAAATTCCTAATTGCACAATTTATTTTTGAAAATAAAATATAAAAAATGGGGGGTGGGGGAAATTTTTTTTTTGGAAATTTTTATAAAACTTTTTTGGGTGTGGGTGGGAGGTGTCCTAGGGTGTGGTGGTGGGAGGTAGGGGTTGCAAAAAAAAATTTAAAATTTTTGAGTACCACATCCCATCTTGCTCATATTTGGCTGATTTCTCTTCTCCTTAGAGCATTTCCCCCCAGATTATATCTCTATAACCACTTTAGCAATAGATTGATGTTTTGAGCCTTCAGATTTTTAATGCACAAACAACCTCTCTCCTTGCTAGTAATTGAGGATTTTCAATTTGCTAAGTGGCTAACTTGATTGTCTTTGTTGCCTTGTCAAATGAAATTCCTCTCAGCGCATCAGTTTTCTCCCTTACATTTCGAGGTGGAGGAAACAAAGACATCACATAAGTGCGTAAAGCATCTAGAACAATGTTGACCAAAGCTTGTCAGTCTCTTCTCATAGCTATCTACCATCCCATTGAATAATTCAAGAGCAATATTTTTCGAACCAAATCAAACAGTGGGTAGGGAGCCTACCGCACATCCCAGAATGGCTGCCATGGTTTGAATATCCTCCAGTTCTTTGGTTGGATAAATCATACTCTTCCTCCAATTCACATGAAGCCTGGAGACTGCCTCAAACATGACTAGAATTAACCTAAGATATCTTAAGGGTTTTGCCTTTGCCTCACAAAAAAAATCAAAGAATAGATGCATAAAGAAGATGTGTGATTTCCACATTTTCCCTTCCCTTGTTAGAAGCATTGAAACCTTTTAACCAGCCATTGCAGCTTGCACACTTTAGCATTTGATTCAAACCTTCCATGACAAAGAGGAATAAGAAAGGTGATAAACGACCACCTTGTCTCAAACCTCTCTGAGAAGAGAAAAAGCCTTTTGGGGAGCCATTCACCAAAATAGAAAACCTGATTGTCTCGATACAAAAAGCTGTCTAGTTGATTCACTTACTGCCAAAATCCATATCTTCAATCACCTTGAAAAGGAAACCCCAGTTAAGTTAACATGATCATAGGTCTTCTCAATATCAAGCTTACAATGAACACCAGATTCTCGCCCTTTTACTCTAGTATTCACACATTTTCATTGACAATCAAAGAAGCATCCATGATTTGTCTTCCTCTTAAAAATGGAAAAGGTCCAAATATACCCCTGGACTATTGGAAATAATTTAAATATACCCCTCGTTATACTTTCGAGCTAAATATAGCCCTCCCGTTATACTTTCGGGCTAAATATACCCATATAACTAACAGAGGGATTAAAAGAACTATTCAATTTAAAATAGATCTAATTCGGATATAACCCACCTCGCCCCAATAATATAATCCGGCCTAATCAATAACATTGACCCACCCAATTTATCTTTCAAACAAAGAAACCTACTTGCCCACCGGTTCACCGGCTACTCTATTTCCTCTCTTCTTTTCTGTGGTTCAACTTCTACGTATGAGTTATTGCTGAAAGTGGGTTGTAGGAGTTATTGTAGGACAACCTTGAATTGAATTAGGATTTTGTTTCCTTTCTATTCTATTAGTGCCCTATCAGCTTGTAACCCGAGGACATCATACACACACATTTGTTGCGATATCCTTTTACACGGAGGCATGAACAATTTTGTACTACTGCAGGAAATGAGGAAAAACAAAAATTATCTGTAACTTTTATTGCTGGAGAGAACTTAATTAGGGGCATGAACAATGTTATTGATTAGGTTATGTTATTTATTGGGGTGGGACGGGTTATATCTGAATTGGATCTATTTTAAATTGAATGGTTCTTTTAATCCTAGTCGTCCATGTGTCCCTCTGTTAGTTACAAGGGTATATTTAGCCTGAAAGTATAATGGGAGGAGTATATTTAGTCCGAAAGTATAACGAGGGGTATATTTAAACTATTTTCAATAGTACAAGGGTATACCCATTCACCAGCTTATATGCCACCTTCTTCAACGTCTTTGGCAATAGATTTGAAATAATCTTGTACACACTTCCTATTAAAGTAATAGGTCTGAAGTCCTTGAGTTCCTTAGTGTGAGAAATATTGGAGAAGAATATAATTGAATTGTGTATCTACATTCTTACACAGAGATCCTATTTATAAACACTACAATACAATCCTTTATCAAGTAGGAAATTATATACTATTCCTATTCTTATCACTATTCTAAGGGCCCGTTTGGCCATGCAATATGAAATCATGATTTGAAATTATGATATGAAATCATGAGATGAAGTTGAAGTTTTGTTTGGACATGCAATTTGGACTTTTTTTATCGTATGTTTTCTCAGAAACATAAAACCCCATAGTTGGTAAAACTATTAAAATTGTCCCAATTCTTTATACAATCTTACCAAAAAAGCAAAAGCTTATAAAATCGCATAATATACTATCAAAAAACTATTCTAAAGAAAATACACCACTTATTGATCAAACCTTAATTCAATAAAAAAATAAAATTGAACATAAGTTGTAGTGTTCAAGTAGTTAGCAACTAAGAAAATTATATTTTCAATTAATGTCACAGTGGTTAGTCTTGTCCACTCAATATAATGATGAAACATTTTTTTTATTAAACATTGATTTGAATGAAGTAGTGATAAATTTGATAAAAAACAATTAATTTGGTGAATATAAATGGTAAATTAAAAATTGATTTGAAATAAAAATAAATTTTATATTGGCGAGAATAATCATTATATAAGATATAAACGGTTTAAAAAGTAATGATATGAATTATAAATTTTATTTACATATGAAACAAATGGCTAGTAGATATATATAAATTAAATGTGGGTTTTTTACAAAATATAAACTTGTAGGTCAATTTTTATATTTAAAAAATCCCAAATCACAATTTGAAATTTTCAAATCATGATTTTTGGAGAATTTGGGATTTCATCTCATGATATGAAATCATGAGATGAAATCAGCGTAAAATTGCATGTCCAAACGCTGATTTCATCATGAGATGAAATCGCATGGCCATAATGCCTATTAAGTAAGATTATATGTACTTATTTATATTCTAACACTCCCCTTCAAGCTAGAGCATACAAGTCACATGTACCTAGCTTGTTACAAATGTAATTAATATGAGGATCGATGACGGGTTTGGTGATATATTTGTAAGTTGATCACTTGACTTCACAAAATTGACCGTCAATCTCAATGTGCTTACTCTTCTCTTGAAATACTGGATTTGATGCATAATAACAATCAATTTCAATGTGCTTGGTCTTTTCATGAAATATTGGATTTGATGCATAATGTCGATAAAACACAGAGTGATAAATTCCTAAATAACAGTGTTGAGCTTTCCAAGCCAAGCTTGAAAAGGCTAGTTCAAACCATAGAGTGACTTCCACAATTGACATACAAGGCTACCAGATTCCCCCTGAGTAACAAAATCAGATTCCCCCTGAGTAACAAATCAGGTGGTTGCTACATATTGACTTCTTCCTTGAGATCACTATAGAGAAAAACATTCTTAATGTCCAGATTAAAAGGCCAATGGAGGACGAAAATCATAGATAGAAAAAAAAGGTGGACATATAATATTTTACCACGAGAGTGAAAGTATCACCGCAATCCAACACAAATATCTAGTATACCGTTTTTTTGGCAAAAGTAAATTTGAAACAGGAAGTTCTGGAAATTTGATTTAAAATATATGGATCATCTCGAAACCAAGGGATGAGTAGATCATAAACAAGAAGTCACCGTAAAACTTGTCAGAACATGCCCATGCTCCAAATTATTAGATTTGATGGTTGAAAGTGGTCACAATTTGAAAAAATAAAATTACATGGGTAGGGTCGGAATAATGACACGACCCTACTGGAAAATGAAATTATATAGGTAGAGTCGTATTGATGGCACAACCCTACTGAAAAAGAGAAATTGTATGGGTAGGGTCAGAATGATGGCACGACCCTACACAAATAAGAAAGTAGTCACCGAAAAAATGGCACGGTGCTACACAAATCAGATATGAGAAAGTAGTCACTAGAAAGATGACACAGTGGTGTACACGAATAAGATATGAGAAAGTAGTCACCGGAAAGATGCACGGTGCTATGCAAATTAGATATGAGACAATAGTCATCGAAAGATACACAGTGACCCAACATTTGCTAACATAATTGTTGGCCAGACGGGAGGCATATATGGGTAGTAGTCACCTGTTAGCAGCGGAAGCTCTTTGATTCTCTACCAAGATCATAGAGGCTCTGATACCATGTGAGAAATATTAGAGAAGAATATTATTGAATTGTGTATCTACATTGTTATGTAGAAACCCTAT